CCAGAGTCACAAACATACTGAACTGAGGGACTGATTTTCTTTCCTGCTGTCAGGATTGATTTCATATTCTATTGATTGATATTTTGATCAGATATTTCAGCAGGTTTATTGTTGTTCCACACAGTGAGGAGAAAGGATACAAACAGAAGCACAATGATGAAATCAAATCAAGAGAAAACAATAAAAGTACAAACTAAACAGAAACAGATGAAAAGTAAAAGTCATTTTGTATAATAGAAGAACAAATTCCAAAGAAGATGTTTGAGATAAAGATTCAGATCCTCCTCTTTGTTCTGCTGCTGGATACCTACAGCGTCACATTTTGAAGCGGAGGGCCACTGACCGAGCTGCAGGATTTGACCACTTGGGAGTGAGACCGGGTTGCGCCTGCAGGAATCTCTCTACACCCCCTGGGACTCTGTGTTCAAAAAGAAATGATCAAATGAAATATTTGCTCAACAGAAAGCTAAAGCTTCATCCTGCACTATTTCCACAGAATCAATGCTCCACCGCTACACAGCAAGCTCGCCAAAATTACAGCCAATATTTCAGAAGAAAACACGAGTGCTTCTTACTCAAAGCGGCGCCAAAGTGTAGCTTAATATCTGAATAAACACAAAGAATGAACAGATTCACTGGCTCTAACCAATTTGGTGCCCTAGGCAAGATTTTTGCATCGCAATAAATTCCACTGCCAGTTATATACATACATATACTCACGCAGGAAACTGAATAGTCTGAATAGTCTTTGACATTTTATTTTATTTTTAGAGAAACAAGTTGCTCAATCAGCACAGTTAACAAGAAAATAATAAATTAGAAATAAATAATACAAAAAATAGAAATAGCCCACACAAAGTATAAAATTTAACTATGTACAAAATAAAAACTGTAAACAAGTGATAAAATAAATTAAACTACACCACCACCTAGTCATCCTCACATCACCTGCTACACTTGTACTCTCCTAGTCTTCAATCATATGACAACTGATCTGAAACCACATGATTGATGCTAATGATGGAACGTCCACTGAGTTCTTGCATCATAGCAGATCTCAGGTAAGGTTTAATGAGTTTGAGCTCGGAGAATCTTCTTTCAGCAGCAGCCACTGTAACAGGAAGAGTTGGGTGTTATAGTCTAATAATAAAAGAAATAAAATTAGATAATAAAAATGAAAAACCTAAGAGATGCATTACTTTCACTGTACTGTACATGAATGATATACAGTGCAATTTCTTCTGATATGTAAATGAGATTAGATTGAATGTTATTGTCATTACAGTGAAATGCTGATTAACAGAATGTAAAGAAGCAGTAAACTGCAGAATAATATAACATATGGGAATGTATTAACATTAATGATGTGCACTTTAACATGGATGTAAAGTGTAACACTATAAACACACTTTAGACAATACTGAACTGTAACACAACAAACAACCAGGCTTCCAACTCTAATATATAAAGGTGTGTGAAAGGAAAAGCATCTGACTGACTGTTACAAGCAGAGCAAACGTTAACTAACAATAATTAATACAAATAATGGAAACAGCTGCTGAATAGATCTAATCTTTACAAATGTCCCTGAGAAATATAAGGTGGGAGTATTAGATATATTATAGGCCCCTCCATAACATGAACTGACGTTAAATAATAAAGGGTTATTATTGTTTAATAGGTTTCAGTTTCTACCCACAATCCATCACTCTGATCAACAGTTAACTGCCCTGTACAATAACCCCAGGACTCTAACATCCACTGAACCTGGAGACTATTTATTATTTATTCTTCTATTGTTGAAATTCAGTTTCTTTTTAAAAACATAAACATAAATACTATCACTGTAACACATGGACCTGCTGTACATACTGTATATACTGTCATATCCACCAACCTCATGTACATTAAGAAACCTGCACGGAAAGTATTGATTCCAGCATCCTTTGCACTCTGAACCATTGCACTATTGTCGACTGTGTACAGCTGTTATTGTTGTTTATATTTGTAGAACTGTACATATTAGTCTGTGTGTATTGTGTTGAGCCTGTTGTTCTGTTTCTTTATGCTCAGTCTGTGTTTGTACACTGAGAGCAACGTAAAACCAGAGTCACATTCATTGTATGTGTGCACATACCTGGCCAATAAAAGTGATTCTGATTCTGATCTTACAACCAGCAAATGACAGAAAATCCAGCGTTTACAATTTCACATGCAACACCAGCTCAGTTAACGCCGCTAGCCGTTAGCATATAACGGTTGTGAGTTTAGCTCAACAATCTCTCATTCAGAAACAGTTCAACTCACAGAGGAAAGGAAATCAAAAAGTTTATTTCAGCGTTCATTTGACTGTTAATTAGCAACAATGTTTTTCTGGAAAAATCCCACCAAAGGAGGCCATCCACTCTTCTTGTGTAACCCGGATCTCAGGTAAGTGTAACTGATCATTTAATTAGCTCTGAATTAAAGCTGGGCTAATATCAGAAAACTCTAGGTACGACTACGGAACCTGAAGTAGTAAAAGGTCAGCAGAGAACAGACAACACAAAACAGGTAAGTTTGAGGAATATATTATACAAAATTAAAGACAGTTATTTACATTCCCTGCCTACCTAAGCCGGCTTCCTGAGTGCACAGGCGCACAATAAAAGGGCCCCAAAATAAATAACCTCAAACAAAAACAGTCCATGAAAGTTCTTGGAGTGTGTGTGTGTGTGTGTGTTTGTGTGTGTGTGTGTGTTCTTTTCACTACCCGGTAGGTTTACGTGGGTTCTTATCTGTATTTCAAATGAAGGCACAGGATGATGATGGTTCTTGGTCTCTTGGTCCGTTCACTGACTTCTGCGGTTGGCTCGCCACTGACCGCCAGGGTCAGATTCAGATGATCTATCCCTCTCTAAAAAACCAATCTATGCATACAGTACAGAATGCATTAGTTACTATTGTCTCATTTCTGTTTAAATACGATCAACTTATCTCCATTCAAATGTCAAATCAAATATATAACCAATTGTAAAGGATATAAATACTCTAATCATTATGTAAATGAATAGGTACACATCACCCCACATAAGATAGGTCAGTTCCAATGAACAACAATCAATCAATCATGTACTTCCATCTCACAGCATAGAAATAAAATCATGAGATTTCTGAAACCAGATATTTATGTTTTTAACCTTTTAAATCTATTTATGCATCTTAATAACATATCAAACATTTTAATAGATTCATTCTTTTTAACTGTTAAGATGAACTTGTGTTCCTCATATCCATATCAAACATGTATATTGGCAATTAAATAAACTAAATCATCTAAACTAAACTAAATCTACACTTGGCTTAAGTTTCCTTTCCTAATATCCCTTTGTTGTTGTTTATTCCAGATTTGAATGTAGCACTGTAAAGGTTGCAGTTCAGAGACCATGGCATTGTTATCTGAGATCAAGAAGAGACACAATGATAAGAAGATGGCCAGAACCTTTGCATACAGGAGGCCGTCAGAGACGAAGTTCAAGATCATCTTACCAGGACTGTTCACTGTGGCAGAGGTATGAAATGCTTGGTTATAATCAATATTTTTAGTCATTTGATAGATTGTTATGCATCAAATAACAATGTGAAAGAGTTCAATTCAATTCAATTCAATTCAATTCAATTTTATTTGTATAGCGCCAATTCATAACAGAAGTTATCTCAGGACACTTTTCAAATAGAGCAGGTCTAGACCGAACTCTTTAAAACATTAATTACAGAGACCCAACAGTACCACCATGAGCAAGCACTTGGCGACAAGGGCAAGGAAAAACTGCCTGTTAAAAGGCAGAAACCTAGGACAGATCCTCCGGCTCTAGGTGGGTGGTCGTCTGTCTCAACCAGTTGGGGTGAGAGAGAGAGAGAGAGAGAGAGAGAGAGAGAGGCAGAGAGAGAGAGAGAGCGAGAGACAGACAGACAGGTGCACAGTAACAACAGTATTGGCAATGGCAATCTAGCAGGACCATGGCAGGAGGCTCCACCAGGATCAATAAGAACCTGCGAGACGAGAAAGCACAAGAACTCCGGGGAAGAAGTGAAGTTAGTAACATGCATTAATGGGACATGAATGAGTGCAGAAAGAGAGAGGAAGGGAGGAGCTAAGTGCACCATGGGAAATCCCCCGATAGTCTAGGCCTATAGCAGCATAACTAAGGGATGGTTCAGGACTCACCTGATCCAGCCCTAACTATAAGCTTTATCAAAGAGGAATGTCTTAAGCCTACTCTTGAATGTGGTGAGGGTGTCTGCCTCCCGAACCACAAATGGAAGCTGGTTCCACAGGAGAGGAGCTTGGTAACTGAAGGCTCTGGCTCCTGTTCTACTTTTAGAGACTATAGGAACCACAAGTAGCCCTGCATTCAGAGAACGTAGTGTTCTAGAGGGGTAATAGGGTACTATGAGCTCTTTAAGATATGAAGGGGCCTGACCATGAAGAGCTTTATAGGTGAGGAGGAGGATTTTAAATTCTATTCTACATTTTACAAGGAGCCAATGCAGAGAAGCTAGTACAGGAGAGATGTGATCTCTTTTTCTAGTTCCTGTCAGTACTCGTGCTGCAGCGTTCTGAATTAATTGGAGCGTTTTAATGGACTTACTGGGGCAACCTGATAATAAAGAGTTGCAGTAATCCAGCCTTGAAGTAACAAATGCATGGATTAGTTTTTCTGCATCTGTCTGTGATAGGATGTGTCTAATCTTTATAATATTACGTAAATGAAAGAAGGCAGTCCTAGAGGTTTGCTTTATGTGGGAGTTAAATCCAATCCAATCCAATCCAACTTTATTTGTTAAGCACTTTAAAACAACCAAAGTTGACCAAAGTGCTGTACAGGAGAATAAATAAGACATCATAAATAAAAGACATAACAGCTCACATGAGGCGCAAAATAACATATAATACAACAATAAAAATGAAAAGACATAAATGAAAATAATAACCATGCAATAACAAGCAATCAAAAAGTAAAAATAACAAATACAAAAAATAAATCAAGTAAATAAAGTCGACATCTTACTAGGTGTCAAAGGCCACAGAGAAGAGATGGGTTTTAAGACCGGTTTTAAAAACAGACAGAGAAGAGGCCTGTTTAATGTGCAGAGGCAGATCATTCCATAATTTAGGAGCAGACACAGCAAAGGCACGGTCCCCTCTGAGCTTCCGCTTAGTTTTAGGCACACTCAGGAGCAGCTGATCATCTGACCTGAGGGGGCGGACGGGTATATAGGGGTGTAGAAGCTCAGATAGGTAGGGCGGGGCAAGACCATTTAGGGATTTAAAAGCAAATAAAAGAATTTTAAAATGGATCCTAAATTGAATTGGCAGCCAGTGGAGTGAGGCTAAAATGGGGGAAATGTGCTCATGTTTACGTGTGCCAGTTAAAAGACGTGCAGCAGCATTCTGTACCATCTGAAGACGGGCGATGGAGGACCCACTAACCCCCACAAATAGTGCATTACAGTAATCCAGCCGAGTGGTAACAAAGGCGTGGATTACCGTCTCAAAGTGCTGCCTTGATAGAATTGGCTTTATTTTGGCCAGCTGCCTCAAATGGAAAAAGCTTGATTTGACAACAGCCTTGATCTGACTGTCAAACTTAAGCTCAGGGTCCACCTTAACCCCTAGGTTTGTGATGCTAGGTTTAATATACTGGGCCAAGGAACCCAGATCTACAGGGGGGATCCCTGTGGTGCCACCAAAAACCATCACTTCTGTCTTTTTATCATTGAAATTTAAAAAGTTCAGAGTCATCCAGGCCTTTATGTCGTCAAGGCACTTAAGTAGCAGTCTGACAGAGTATTCATTTTTCTTTTTAAGAGGCACATAAATCTGACTGTCGTCTGCATAACAGTGGAATGAAAAGCCGTGCTTCCTAAGTATGGAACCAAGTGGGAGCAAATAGAGAGAGAAAAGGAGAGGGCCAAGAACTGAGCCCTGTGGGACCCCACACGAGAGAGGAGCAGAGGAGGATACAGAGTCACCTAGGCTGACACAGAAAGTTCGATCAGCCAAGTAAGACCATGATGAAATCCTGATCAAAGATAACTCCAAGATTCCTGACAGTGGTGCTAGAGGCCAAGTTAATGCCATCTAGAGTAACTATATCTTTAGACAGTGAGTCTCTAAGGTTTTTGGGGCCAAGAACAAGAATTTAGTTTTTTTCTGAGTTTAACATCAGAAAATTGCAGCTCATCCAGGATTGTATGTCCTTAAGACATGTTTGTAATTTAGATAATTGATTAATTTGGGCTTGATTGATAGATATAACTGCGTATCATCTGCATAACATTGAAAGTTAATGGAGTAATTCCTAATAATGTTGCCTAAAGGGAGCATATATAAAGTAAATAGAATTGGTCCAAGTACAGAACCTTGTGGAACTCCATGACTAACTGTAGTATTTATTGAAGATTCATCATTAACATGTACAAACTGCGAGCGATCTGATAAATATGACTTAAACCAGCTTAGTGCGGTTCCTTTAATGCCAATTTGATGCTCAAGTCTCTGTAAAAGAATATTATGGTCAATGGTGTCAAATGCAGCACTAAGATCTAATAATACAAGTACAGAGACAAGTCCATGTAATGGCTCACAGAATTCCAGTAGCATATGGAAATGTTTATCACTTTGTGTAACATGTAACATTGGCACAGAAACACTTTGAGTTGTTTAGAGCAGGGGTTCTCAACCTTTTGCAAGCTGGGCCCCCCCAAAGCTGGTTCATTGCAGTTGCCTCTCTAATTATTATTATTATTATCAGTAGTGGTAGGTAGGCCTATTATCATTACTAGGCTATTGTTATAATTGGCAGTAGCACCAGACTTCTAATGTGACCTTGCAGGCATTATTATTATTATTATTATTATTATTATTTTGAGTAGTAGTAGTCCTATTATCATTACTAGGCTATTGCTATAATTGGGAATTGGCACCAGACCTCTGATATGAATTTATGCTTTATTATTGTTATTATTACTAGGCCTAATAGTAGGCCTATCATCTGCATTTTTTACAGAAGCTTGCAGGTAGGCGATGTTAAAGGGGACATATTATGCAAAACCAACTTTTTAATCATTTTATTATGTACATTTGGGAAACTGGAGGGCCTATCAGCAGGCAAAGTTTGAAAAAAAATGACTCAGTCATGTTTTTGTGGGCTGCCTCAGTCAGAATACAGGAGAGAAGACACGAACTCTCAGAGGTATGCAGTTTGTGACGAAACCTGCTGCACTCATTAGCATATTCCAACCTTTCACCTGCCTGTTGCCACCCACCTCAGCTTACTCCGCCTTGTCTATCCGTGCTCCGCCATTGTCCCTACGAGCGAGAGAGCGAGCAGACATGCATCAGGGAAGGCAACACAAATGTTCTGTGCTGGGCTGCACAGAACAGCACAAAGCTGTACACACTATCCCCGTCTCAGAAGAGATACGAGTCCAGTGGATTAATTTTATTTACAATGGAAATGTTCCGGCTAGAGTTGGCAAAAAGCTGTTGGTTTGTGCTAACCACTTCACCAGTGACTGTTTTAAGAACCTCGGTCAGTACAATAAGGGACTGGCCCAAAAACTGTTGCTGATAGAGGGAGCAGTACCAACTATCCGTTGCAAGACGACAGACACAGAAACTGTAAGTATTTTTAAGAATTTATGCTTTGTTTTTCATTGTTGGTGTAATGTTAGCTAATGCTAACAGCTCTGAGCTGCTGGAGCTGCAGTGAAGCTAACATAGTTATTGTTTGTTAGATGTGTGCAACATGAAACTTATATGGTGACGTTAATTTAAGCCAGCTGGTGCAGATGTCTCCATATTTTTCCCTGCTGCAAATTTTTTATAGAGATTTACACAAAGTATATGCCATTAATTACCGGTAAAATCCCCCCCTCCCCCCTCCCCCACCGCGGCCGCCGCGGCCACGGCCACGGCCGCCGTTAGCTTTGTGCAGGGGGGACTTGAAGTTACTGTTGTGAGCTTCGTGGTTTAAGCCACAACTAGCTTTATTTTGTCTGTATTTTGGTAAATGTGCATGCTTTTCAGTAAGTAACTGTTACTATGTTTGTGTGTGTCGCTGCTAGAATAAGCAGAGAGGTAACGTTAACCTCCGACCGAACAAACTGCAGCAATGCAAAAAGTAATTTCATCGGCATGCCTTACCAGCTGTTTCCTTTGTTAAGCTGCACTAGACATGTTAGACAGGGAATAGTTAAGTAAGTAACTATGTTACGTTACGATGTAGTGCGGTCGGTTCTAAGGATGTGTATTGTCGCCCGCCCCGACACAAAAACCAGAATATAAACAAGGTCCGAGCTAATTCAGAATGGCGGGTACTATAATGTGATATCTCCAGTAAGACTGAGACAGTTCCAGGTATTACTGACTACTAAGAACTTGCATCGAGGCTAGAACTAACGTCATATATGGCGCACTGTGTTCATCATGGTTGATGATTACTGTCGCACAACACACTTTGGAGAGCTACAGTACAGTGTCTGTTTTAAACTGAACTAGCTGGGCACAATAACAGGACCTTATTGTTCAATGTGAAAAGCTAGTTAGCTAGCATCTGACAGTCATTGTTAATCTGCGGATAAAATCACAAGAAACAAATAGATCAACCAAGAGACAGTTATTTGCTTTTACTGTATTTTTTGAGTATAAATATTACTGCTCTTTGTGTTTAGGCAAGCACATCTGGACTGCTGGATAGGGTACATCATGTGGCATGCCAGACAGACCCACCAACAACACGCTCATTTGGAACACAGCTTTCAATGAAGACTCTCCAACCTCATTTCAGAAGTACAGGTTAGTTGACCAAAAGTTACTTCATTCGTTGATGTGATTTCTTCTGTTTGTGTTCTGTTAATGAGTAACAATATGTTTGCTTAACATTTCATAATTCTGCATAAACAATAACATCATCTGTCTGTTTTTAAGGCACACAGAAAACTGTTTCCTGCACTGATGTTGGTGTTGGCACCTCAGCTCTTCTGCCGTTTCTTACATCAACACCTATAAAGAGACCAAGTAAGAGACGTCGCTTGGAACTGGAGGAGGAGGAAGAGGAGAACCCTTTAGAAGGCAGTTCTGTTGACGTAGAAGAGCCACACGATTCAACTTATGACCCTGCAGACTCTGCCACAACCTTGACTGAGTCAGCAGATGTGACGTGAGTTACCTAAACATTTAACTAATCATTTGTGTTACATTCCTCTACTTATTGTAGCTCTACTAGGACGATCTTTGACTCATTTTCTGTCAATGTTTTGTTTTTATTGCAGAATGGAATCTTCTACGCCTGTCCATAAGACTCCAACTTATATTGTGTATGAGAACTGCCTAATGGAGCTGTTTCAGGTGTGCCCTGTGTGTCAGCGGGAATGTGACATGCAGAAAAGAAGATTGGGCACGTTTCTCTCTGTAGAACAACGGTGCCCGCATTGTGAGTTCTACAGAAAGTGGAACAGCCAGCCTCTTGTTGGGAGCACTCCTGCTGGGAACCTGCAGCTCTCCACTGCAGTGTATGCCACTGGTGCCTCTTTCTTTAAGCTTGAAAAGGTATTGTATTTACACTAAACTATGAATAAAGTAATGGAATATAGCATATGATGTAGCTAAATTTATATACACAATGTGTATTTCTGAAAAAGTGATTAACGTGTGGGTGCCTGTCCTGTCTGTTTCTTTCTCCCACAGATCTTCCGGGCAATGCAGTTGAAGATGTTTCAATATGACTCATTTCGAAGGCATGCTCGGATGTACATAGAGCCCGCGATTGTACACAGGTGGAAGACGGCACAGACTGCAATGTTAGAGCAGCTCAGTCAGCTGCAGAATGTCGTCCTCGGTGGTGACAGAGCAGACTCACCAGGTATGTAATACTCTGTCATAATAATCTTTTTTATATATATATAAATAAAACACACTGATAAATACTATGTAATGTATATATAAAAAATAATTACTTTACTTTTGAAGGACATTGTGCCAAGTTTGGCAGCTACACAATGATGGACATGAGGAGCAACACTGTTATTGATTTACAGCTGGTTCAAGTGAGTGACAGACCATAAATAATCTCTGTTGTAATCTGTTACAGTGTAGCTCTTATCAGCTGAAATAATAAATTTTTATCTGCTTTCTTAAATAATAGAGTAATGAGGTTGGTGGAAGCTACCACATGGAGAAAGAGGGCCTGAAGAGGAGCCTTGCTCTGTTGGAGGAACGGGGTGTTACTATAGATAGTATTGTGACGGACCGTCACCCCCAAATCCAGAAGTTCCTGAGGGAGGCCGATGTCACGCATTACTACGATGTATGGCACATGGAAAAAGGTATTATTCCGTGTCTTATTTGTCAATATTGAGAGAGGAAAAAAGTTTATTTATGATAAGTGTAGTTCCTTTATTGTTACACTGACAGTTATTGATGTGTAGCCTATTATTATTTCAATTTAGACTGTAAGCTATATCATTTCTGCTATGTTAATTGATGTAATTAATATATGTGAAAGACTTTAAAGCTTTTTGTATTATTAGGACTGTCCAAGAAACTGTCGAAGATCTCACAGAACAAGGAGTGTGAGAAACTGAAGAAGTGGCTTCAGAGTATAAAAAACCACATCTACTGGACGGCTGCATCCTCTACATCGGTGCCAGAGAGAACAGCAAAGTGGATGTCCATTCTGAACCACGTCCGGGACATCCACAACCACGAAGATCCTGTTTTCCCCCAGTGTTTGCATCCAACCCGCACTTCAAGGGACAAGAGCAAATGGTTGACAACAGGTATGTACACATTATCATGTTTAGGCAGTGTCACTCTACGTAATGACATTATTAAACACTTTCTTCTTTTTCACAGGAACACCAGCCTTCTGCAGGATGGAGAAAGTGCTGAGCAACAAGAGGGTCCTCAAAGATGTGGGGAAGCTGAGCCCTCATTACCAAACCTCATCGCTTGAGTCTTTTCATAGCGTCATCCTACGCTTTGCGCCCAAGAATGTAGTCTTTCCTTTTCTTGGAATGCTGTGCAGGTAAAGAGGGGCTTTTTTTTATCATTACAATTATTCGTATGCACATACAGCCACACCAAATTAAGCCAGGTATGGAGCTATATGTGTAAATCTTTCTTTTATTATTTTTCCTCCCAAGACTATACCTGGCAGCCCTGCACTTCAATGAAAATGCAGACCGTCCACAGGCAACAACCTCAGCTGGTGAGCCGCTGTTCAGGCTTCATTTTCCAAAGTGGAAGAAAGGAGAATGCACAGCAAAGCCAGTGAAGGAGCAACCAACCTTCCGTAAGTTTTAAACCTTTTTTATTGAAAATCACACTGAAAAATGAAACTATAAAATATTTGTTAAATAAATAAAATATAAATTAACCAGTGTCTATGGCTTTTTCTGTGTTTTGAATAAATAATAAATAAACACTATAGATAAACACAATATTGTACTTTTTCTTGTTGCAGATTACGTGGATGAAATCTTGGACCTGGTGTTTGAGAAGGTTTTTCTGGACCCTGGTCCATACACAGATGAGGTGTTGAAGATCTCCATTCCTGAGGATCTCACTGCACAGTTTGAAAGGCCGGACAAGAAGGAGGTGATAGACCGCTACGTGACGAGGTTCAGTCAAGGGCCGGTCTGAACCCCACGTAGATGCCTTGAGCGTCGGGGGAACTCCGCCCGTATACGCAGCACCACACAGCTGGGCAGTGCCACACGAACTCTTCGGCCCAGAAAGCCCCAACACCAGCTCACAAAGCCCCTATAGGCCAAGTACCTGTAACGGCTGAACAGAGTACAGATATATTTAGTTTTACATTTATATTTAGACATAATTTATGATTAGCCACATTTTTTTGTAAATATTTGTAATACGTATTTTTTGAACAGTTGTTTGCTGTACTTGTATTTATGAAAATAAAAATGTATAAGCTGTTTTTTGTACTTTCAGTGTTTGATATGTGGACATAAACATTATGGTCATTAAGAGACAGGTTCTTAGGAGTGGGATGAGTATCCAAAAGTATGAAAGATAAATTCCTGCACAATATCAAAATGCCAATACAACCATTTATTAGCAGCAAATTGGTGTTGGACCTAGGTTTAAATGTAATAAATTATGTTATTGCAAGTTAGATTTTGTGCAGAAATTAATCTTTTCTAGTGTTTGATATGTAACATTTTAACAATTATCAAACTGCCTTACAAGAAAAGTAAGCAATCTAACAAAGGGGAAAATGGAATTGTTTTTGGAATATTTTTATTACAATTACACAGAATTTATATGCAAAAAAACCTTACTGTTCTATTCCCCTCAGACGTAAACGCCCATAGTCTGCTCTGTAGATATTTAGTTCCTTCTGCAGTGAGAATGCATTTAAACACACTGGTTCGAGGCCAGGGTGGTCTACCATGCAGGAAGGTGGGTTTTGAAGCTGATTTAGTCTTCTTATCACCTGTAAATATGAAAGGGTAAGTGACGTTTGATGACAGATAATATGACTGAATAGTTACATTTTCATTCAACAAGCATCCATGTACTACCTGTGGTATCTCCCTGCAGCAGACATTCTCTGGCTCTGTAGGCATTGTTGTGCAATTCTCACAAGTACACCTAAACCAGAGGCAAAAAAAGGGAAAAGATATCAGTTATAGTTTTTTATTTGAATATGTTGTTAGCAATAACGACAGGTCAGCTTATGCAACGATGTGACGTTATTAATTGGAATTATTGCATCATGTTGAAACACAGTAAATACGGGTAAACAGGAATTACTATGGGGTATACGGCGGTGTTAGACAGTCGCCCCAACCCCCACTACATCCCTCGTTTCACACCTAGGTTGTAAAATTAGCACACACGCGTGAAAAGTGGCTACAGTGTGTCTGTGGATAGTACATTAACGTTTGATGTCGGACAGAATAATGATGTAACGTTATTACGGCGTAGCTGAGAATAAAAAAACGAGTGCTATATTCCCACTCGTAGCTGATATTGCGGACTTGTGAAATGTACTCGTGTAACGGGAATAGCATGCTAACGTTACTTATGTTAACTCAATTAACAGAAATCTAGATTTTTATTAGCAGTAAATTACACAAACAGCGGCCAGCGGTCGACTGTATTTAGTCAGCGACCGTATTTACCCGACGTACAAACATACACATTTTTAAGAAAAAAGTAAAAAAAAGCTCATAACTCACCATTCAGAAACGTCTTGTTGCAGTCTACATTGAACAACTTCTTCGCTAGCTCCTTCTTGTTCAGGGTCTGACTCTGGTTCAAACATATAAGGTTGGACCGAAAAGTTTCTTCCAGCTGCCATCTTTCTCCCAGGGTTCACGTTCAACTGTTGTCATGGTAGCGTAAGCGTGCCGACGTCGGCACACCTCCCGGAAGAAGTGGGTGGATTGCCTGTGTCTCATTTGCATTTAAAGAGACAGGCACTCAAATCCTACCGTTCTGAACAGGGCTGTTTTGGCAGGGTGATTGAACTGCTATTGTGCTTCATCCTTATGGTATTTTGACCAAAGCATGTCACAGACATTACATTAGGACAGCAGGGAACTAGATTAACTTGTTGAAATAGGGTATAATATGACTCCTTTAATGTGAGACCTGAGCCTGCTTTGCCTTGCAAAGATCCTCAATTCTTGGCGCAATGTCTGATAAACATAGCCTCAAATCATCCTCGATTTGTGCACGATTGCGGTACTTTGTTTTGAGTGCAGTCATTTTTGAGAATCCTGCCTCACACAAATATGTCGACGCGAAAGGGAGGAGAATCTTCAAGGCGACGTCACAGAGTTGAGGGTATTCCTGCATCAATGCTGCCCAGAATAACGAAAGAGGGCAGGAGGTAAAGACTTCCTTCAGCCTACTGTCACTCTTCAGCTCAATAAGCTGTCCCTGCCACTTCACCTCCTCTTGCAGCTCATACAACCGCTGTAACACAGCGAACTTCAGTGTGCAGAAGCAGCTGTTCGTGCCCTGACCCCATCTCCTGGCAGAAGACCCCAAACAAGCGAGAGTTGAGCGGCTGTGATTTGATGAGATTTATCATTTTCACGGATTGGTTCAGCACGGAGTCAAAGAGAACCGGCATTTTTTTAGCAGCTAGTGCTTCACGATGGACCATGCAATGTGTCCATTTCACAAGTGGAGCTACTTGCTGAATGCGAGCAGCTAGGCCGCGCTCACGGCCCGTCATTGCCCGCGCACCATCCGTGCATAGGCTAACGCATGAACAGCTAGTTTGGCTTGTCTGTAGTGCAGGGTAGTGCTAGCGTTCCTAATGAACAACCATTCTTGTGACAGCAGGCTTGATGAAAACAATGATGGAGGTATTAATAAATCAATTTTCTTAACAGTGGCTTACTTTTATAAGATCATTTATATATTATTATATATTATTATCATTTATATATTATAATGTATGTATATTTGACTGTTTCATCTCCACTTTAAGACTCATCCCTTCACCCAATGAACCAATATCACAAATCACAACTGGCCTTAAGGGGCTTTACAATCTGTACAGCATACGACACCCTCTATCCTCACAGCCTCCATTCAGATAAAGAGAAACTCCACAAAAACCCTTTAACAGGTGAAAAATCAAGGTGGAAAACTCCTGATTATTTCTACTGCTTTGGGAACGGCTGCACATTCAGATGCTGCGGTCGGTAGGCTAGCTCCTTCAAACTTCTCTGTTTAGGTTCAATCTGTTTTCAGCTTTATTGCTCAAACACGTATTACCTCTGACAGAAATAGACTGCAGTCATCAGCAAAGGAAGTGTGGGGTTTGGATTAAAGAGACGATCCACCCAGCCAGAACGGCAGGACCAGCCCACCTGCTACTTTCTTTTCATTGTGCAACCTTGGTTGTATACTGACAGAATAACTTACTTTGTACCTTGAAGAGCAACAGAGGAGGGATCCCTCTTCCAGGATGAGATACAATAAATGTTGTATGTACAGAATAGACCAAAACAACAATATGTACAATAGAATGAATAGTATAGGTAGACTGTAAACGTATATGAAGAATATGAATCAGGGAGGACATGGAGCAACTTCCAGGAGCCAGGACCAAGAATGTCTGTACAAGATTTTATTTGTCCATCCATCCATCCTTTGGTCCAGGTCCAATCCATGTGGACTAAAGTAGTGGACGGACAGACATTACCATCCATAGAGCAACACTGCTAGTGTGTCTAAAGAGACATTCAACAGCAGACAGGTTTTTGTATTAGTCTCTCTCACTGTGGGAGGAGGTTGGTACTGGATGTTTGGCTCTGGAACTAAACTGTATGTAACAGGTAAGAATAAACCTTCATTTTCCTTCAGTTGTTTTATTGAACAAGTTGAAAATGTGTTTTTAATGAGTTTCTGCTGCTTCAGGCTTTACATGTTAGTTTTTTCATAATTAGTAGAGAATTCTTGCAGCCATGCAGCTATTGTTACATAAAAAAGGTTCATAATTCCTGAAAAGATGTTTAAATCTCACTGCACAACTGAAGTTATTCTTTATTTCTGCATGAGATCAAACTGATTTATATAGAAAAAGTACGATATTGGCAATGTTACAGATATACAGTATTTGATCATCTCAGTAATTCAGAAGCATCTCCTGTTTTAATGAAACTAGATAATATATGATTAAGTATTGAATATTTGTCAGTATGTGTCTTTAAGAAAAAAGTGTTTTAATGGTAAGATTTTGCTAATTGTTTTGTATATGATGTTATAAATGTCTTTAAAAGGAAAATTCATATTCATATATTCATAGCTGAAGGCCAACAGATACTGGATTTAATTATAACAAATACACCTCAACATATATTTTAATGATGTCAGTGATCATTGTGCATTATTGGCAATGTTACAGATATACAGTATTTGATCATCTCAGTAATTCAGAACCTCAGTGGGTAGAATTCAATTTCAATTCAATTTTATTTGTATAGCGCCAATTCATAACAGAACTTATCTCAGGACACTTTTCAAATAGAGCAGGTCTAGACCGAACTCTTTATAACATTATTTACAGAGACCCAACAGCTGAGCAAGCACTTGGCGACAAGGGCAAGGAACAACTGCCTGTTAAAAGGCAGAAACCTAGGACAGATCCTTCGGCTCTAGGTGGGTGGTCGTCTGTCTCGACCAGTTGGGGTGAAAGAGAGAGAGAGAGAGAGAGAGAGAGAGAGAGAACTGGCGACCCATGTATTAAGTCCTTGCTGCAGCGGCCCAGGGTTCGAATCAGACCTGCAGCCCCTTGCTGCGTGTCATCCCCTCTCTCTGCCCCCCCTTCCTGTCTGTCTTCAGCTGTCACTATCATAAACGCAATAAAAGGCCCCAAAAAATACTTTAAAAAAAAAAATAATAATAATTATAACACATAGCGTAAATATGTATCAAATTATTGAACATATTATACTTTCACAAACTATTCAATCAATCAGATTTTCAAAACAAACACAAAGATAAAAATAAATAAAATTAAATACAGTTAATAAGATCTTACAGATATAAAAATAGTGTTTAAAGCTATACTAAAACTAGATCAAATAGATTAAGAAAATCAATAAGATTGATTAAAAAGCAAATAAAGAAAGTGATCAAATACATTAACAATGAAATTTACAAGGAAATATGATAAAATAACAGAATAAAATGAGGTGAATAATATCTAAAAAACATTCCTAGTTAAAAACCAGGATACAGAGTTCACTTTGAGTTTACATTTAAAGATTTCCACATTTATTTTATTCTATGACGTTATGTTAAATATTCTCCCATGAAGGATCAATAAAGTCTCATATCCGTAGATATCCGGCAGTTAGAGTGAAGAATATTGGTAAATATATAATATATCTAATATATTGTGATCATCCATCGGCTGTTGGGTTTGATGTTAAGATCAATTTGTCCTTTGCTATAAAAAATAACATTAACCATAATATATAAAATACTTTTTCTTTTCTTGAAGGCAGATTGAAGAATTGAACTTTGTGCTGTATTGATGAGTAGTTTAGTGATCAGAGTCCATGTAGTTTCCAGGATCAGACTGAATGCAGTGCAGTGCTGTAAGCTGCTGTTGACTGTGTGAATGTGTGTCTGTGCTGCTTGTTGCTGCTGTCAAACTTCAGATGAGCAGATAGTGAAGCCCGTGGTGAGCGTGTACCCAGCAGCATCCAGAGCCCACCTGGAGGGGAAGAGCTCCCTGCTGTGTGTGGCCTCAGACATGTTTCCTCCTCTGGTCCGGTTCTCCTGGAAAAGACAAAAGGACAATGGTCCTCTGGAGAAGGTGACCTCTGCTGACAAAAAGCAGCTGAAGCTTAAAGAGTCGGGATGTACAGCCACCATCTTGCAGATCCCTCAGCGAGAGAGCAGCACATATAAATACCGCTGCTTCGTCCATCACGAGGGGGAGACAGTGGAGGCCCAAATAAAACAAGGTAATGAAGGCTTGGTGACTGTGTTCAGCAGTGATTCAGCTTCATGTGGAGACGCTGTCAAAGAGAGCAGAGGGGCAGAGGACTGACATTTCTTTTTGACTCCTTTTCTGTTTCAGAGGTTTCTACTCTTCCGCCACCTACAACTTCACCATCACCTCCACCGTCACTTCCACCATCACTGCCACCATCACTTATTCCATCGTCTCCAACATCACCTCCACCATCACTTATTCCAGCGCCTCCAGCTTCTGCCCCGTCTCAGTACCAGGTGAAGCTGCTCTGTCTGATGTACACAGTGCTGATAGTGAAGAGTCTGGTGTACTGCTGTGGACTCTCTCTGCTGATGATCCTCAGAAACAAGGGACCGTCCACCAACTGCACACATGCTGACTGACTGTTTTCTGCTCTCCTTTTCTCTCCGTTAAATCCCATCAATTCATCTCATTTATCACTTTGATCAGCAGCCAGAAATATCAATTTAGATTTTAATTGGGAAACCAATCTTTTTATAAACAGGTTTGATAAAGTGCCCCAAAAAATCTAAATACATACACATACACATACATATTTGCAGTTAGTGAGTGTAAATTATGTGCTACTTTAGCATTAGCTTAGTTTAGTTTAGCTCTAGTTTATTTCCACTTTTTTAATTGTGACTCGTATAATCATAGAAAAGCTGAATCATTATCTGTCTGCTAGATATTTACTGTTTATAATTTCTATGTTCTTATTTTCTGTTTTTGTATTTGTGAATTTCAGTTTGGCTTCATAGCAAAAATTTAGAAACACAATCAGTGTCATTGGCTTTAGTGCTGAGGCCCTTTTATAATTGTGTCAGTGTGGATGTAAAACTCTACGCTGATGACACTGTTATTTCCACACATGAACAAACAGCAGAGCGAGCTGCTTTGAAGCTACAACTGCTATAAAATGATGATACAGTGGCTTGATCAGTTGGACTGAAGTTTGAATGTTGGCTAAATGATGGTTGTGTTTATTTTTGACAAACCAATAAAATGCGACTTAATTCTAACAGTTTGATAACGAGTAAATTGATTTGTTTTGTTACTGATTATACTTTAACCAGATGTATATTCATTTTTATTTTTTTATTATTTTTTAAAACACATTTAAAGACAGAATCACAGAATGCTTCACAAAAGTTATACATTGTAGAAAAATATTTTTAAAACTTTGAAAACTTTAAAACTATTTGACATAATTTAAATTAGAAATTGTCTTTGTATTGATTTTAAAAATGTATGCGGACTATTATCCTTTCCCACATGTCCTTGCTATGCTATATTATGTTACAAGTTGGAGTCAGGCTGGAGAAACTGTCATTAAACTGTCACCTTGACAGAATCAATAAAACAGTTTGAATATTATGATATTCAGACAACTTTCACAGTGAGTACTGAGAGCTGAAATCAAACTGAAGTTCCTGGAATGATTCTTTAACCAGAGTCGATGGTTGTAACTGTCATTGTGTTATTAATGTGAAAAAGTGCAGCTAACGGTGAGGAGGCTGCAGAGAGGAAACCCACACAGCCCGTCTGCTGCAGGAAAGGAAGTGTTGATTCGCTGTCAACAGTTTTTTATGAGTCCTAATAACCACTGAGAACAGATTCATATCTGCTGCTGTACACACTCATGAACTCCTCTCCCTCTCTGCAGTTCTTTGTCTTTTCTCAGGTTGTCCATAGTTCTGTGAATTTAACATTTTATTTGCTTAAATATTGCATTCTGAAAATATTTTCTTAAATCTTCTTTAAATAGAATAACACTGTCAAACCAAACCAGATAAATGTGAGTCTGTGTTCAGTAATATTGTAACACTTTACACTCCTTTTTTATTACTGCAGTCTTGACTTACACACTCTAATGAGTGAAATCAAATGACCAATTGGCATGGAGGTAGCCATATAAGTAATATAGGGTAAGGAGTTGGTTTTAGTTCTAATAATTCAAAATATAAAGACAAACCAAACAAAAGACAACGTCTGTAAAGAGTTCCTATATGTACCATAACCATCTAGGTCACTTATCTTTTATTTTCTCATTACACTCTTTCCTATTTGGTTTGCTGATATCTCATGAATTCTGAAAGTGTGTATGTTAGTGTAATTTTGTGTTAATTATTAATAAATAATAAAAATTAGCAATTGGTGAGAGTTGTATGATGGTTTCAACTCAAAAAGCTCTTATTAAATATTAAAAAGTCAAATTTCATAATATTAGCAGGAAGGGAAGAAGTGAAGTCACTGGGGATCATCAGCAATATGTGAAGTTTCATGAATGTTTCTCGTTTATGAATGTATTATTCCAGGATTCATCCCTGTTTGATTTAATATTATAATATTAACTATATTAATATTGTTCAGTCACATACGTACCCCTCCAATATTAATAAACTTTATCTGCTGCAAAAACGATCTGTAAGATTGTCCACTGTCTCAAACTCTAACGAGGCCTCTGTCCTCCTGTTTAGAAAACTGAACATTCAGTCAGTAAATGACATTAATATTCATCACAGATCTTGTAAACAAATATATTTTCTTCTTTTCTACCATAATCGTTTGTTCAAATGTAGTCATTTAATATTATTTTAGGGATTTTTTTTAATTATGTTTGTTCTAAAACTTTGATCATTTTCACCATGAAACACTGTTGGAAGAATGACAACATATTGCAACTGTCTCACCAGACGAGACCTGTGTGACCTTACATGTCTCTGTACGGTGTTAGATAGGTGTCACACCAATAAATAAGCTCTTCCACCATGGCTGTGTGACAGATTGGAAACTAAAGTTTATCATATGGTGGATTTCTGTGTTTGCTGCTGGTGCTGACATTAAACATCAGAGAGAAACACCACCACCCTGTGGTTAGTCAGAGGAAGTGCAAGGGTATCCAGAGGACGCTCATGATGGTCGCCATGACAACATGATGATGCTCTTGCCGCTAATCATTTTAGATTTTTTTATTAGAATTATAGTTCTCAGTGCCTTTAACAAAGGGAATCTAATCCATGAAGTCCCCAAATACGGACAGTTTATTAAAGGAGACATATGATGCCCCTTTTCAGGTTCATAATTGTATTTTGTGGCTCTCCTACAATAGGTTTAGATGTTTTAATCTTCAAAAAACACATTATTTTTCTCATACTGCCTATAGCACCTCTTTTCAGCCTCTGTCTGAATCGATCGGTTTCAGCTCCTGTCTCTTTAAGACCCCCCTCACGAAAAGCCCAGTCTGCTCTGATTGGTCAGCATTATGACGCGATCACGCAGATGACGCTCTGGCCCCTCCCCTTCGTTGCCGGCAGGTAGCTCCTCACTGTTACTGAGTTTATCTGCATTTCTACCGTCAATATTAGTTCAATAACTGCTTCTAAAGCAAAAACTTCACCAGCAGACATGTTAGAGCGGGAGTCTGACCTGAAATCACAGAGAAATGAACAACATCAACAATCAGGACTACAGCTTTCTGTGACGTTTTCCTCAGGTAAATACTGCTATATTAATTCATCCATATTTCATAGTCTGATTTTTTAACTTGAAAGTATTATTGCCAAAGTTAACCTTCAGATATTTGTAAAAGCTGCAATTATGTTTGAACCCTATTAAAAATACTGTATACTGAATATTCTATCATTTATATTATATACTGTATTATGATGTCATTTATCTTCCAACATAATAAAGTTTGAATGTGAGACAGTAATGTATTGTGTTGCTTACAGTCATTAATGCTGGTTTAACATTTTCATATTGATAGATGTTACACGAACCAGGTTTTCAACTCTTGTACATCCAGGAAATCTTCATAAAACCTCTGTGAAATAACATGTTATTTATATAAAACCACACTTACTCAATTTAAAAATGACCAAAACTCTTCTTAAAAGTAAAACACTTTGTTTCATTCATATTCCAGTTACACATGTTGTAAATGTAAACTGTGCAGATCGTGTCCTTTAGACTGTCCTGATGCTGCAGCTGTCTCTGTCCAGAGCAAAGAAACTGGACGGTCTGTGAAGCTAGCTGTATCTGGAGATATAATGGGTATGCAAATATTTCTCCACAGCACGGCTTTTGAACGGATATAATTTGCGGTTCCCATCCGCTGCAACTGCCAACATGGAGGGTGTGCATGCAGGACACTGAAAATGCTGGACCTGAGACAGCTTGTCAACCTCAAATTTGGCATAGGCCCATTCGCGGAAGGCCCTCTGCATTGTGTCCCCACATATCTTACCACTCTGAGAGCAAAAGTTTTTAAATCCTGTGGCAGGACAAGAATGGACCAGAATCAAAGTTCAGTGAAAACCCACTAAGGTGGGTGCTTTATTTTTCTTTGTGCAGCAAAGCAATGAGTGCAGCGGTGTAGGCCCCTCGTGGCGTGGCTGGTGTGTCGGGTTGGGTCAGGTCTTGGGGAAATCAGCTGGGTAGGCGAGGTGTGGTAGAGGGGCTCACTGGTGAAGTGGTTCACGGAGGGAGCAGGAGACCTCGAGTTCCAGTGCAGCTGGGCGGGTCGTTCGGCTCCAGTCCTCCTTGTGTTCGCTTTACGGGCTTTCTGGGTGCAGGAAATAGAGCAGTGGTTAGCTGGAGAGGCAAACACAGACTCACCTCCCTTGGTCGGTGTGGCTCCTTTTGTCCTGGCCTGACGAGGGCAAACGGGAGGCAGCTTGAGGTGGTAATTAGTGGTTGCCAGCCGTGCCTTGTTGTAGCCTAGCTGCTTGGCCATGTGCTTGGGTTGACATACACAATAGGAGGCAGCACTCCACCGGCCATGTCCTCTAGAGGGTGCTGAAGTGAACAAGTCCACCATGTACAAGGTCTAAAATTGACAGTGGCTGGCCAGTAACCACTTTCAACCAGATCACTTATAGTCACTGGCAAGGTTTTTCCACAGGAGCAGTTTACTAATGGAAGGAAGAGGTTGTATCTTCCTGAAATTTCAGAGAAAAACAATTATCTCTTGTTCACAAGAAACAAAAAACACAATATGAAGAAATACAAAAACAATGTTACCATTAACCACGGAATAATGAGTTGATCAGCAAATCAACCTCAGACATGTAGTGGGCGAGGGTTTGATCCGTCAGACGGACTGAAAACACAAAGGGAGTCCTATGTGGAATCTGGGGCCACAGCTATGCTCGGCGATAGCAGCGTCCATAGCAACCAAAACGTTTCAGTTTCACGTTATTCTGGCGAGATCTGAAAAATCTTCACAACAACGAGCAAGCGAGTGATTATGTACATTCACTGAGTGAATATTAGGAAAACAAAATATATATTTCTCACTAGAAATGTAATCAAAACGCATTTTTATGCAGAAACTAACTCAAAATATTGATTTTTGTCACTAAAAATGAGAGAAATGTCCGCCATGTTTTTTGTTCTCACGGCCAGAATCTTGAAAGTCACGTGACTTGGACACGAAACCATAGCAACAGCATAGTCCAAAAAATTTAACAGTCATACAATTCAAGGGCCATTATTGTAACCCCTCTACGTTTTGGCACTTTGGACCAGCGTAGACAGGGTACGTTTTTATATGAGACTGGGTTGAAAAATACATGTCACATCATTTCCTGCTCCTAAATTCTGATAAAACTGAGATGCTGCTCATTGGCCCTGCTCTACATAAACACCAGTTTGATCAAGCAACAGTAACTCTCAATGACTGTGTGATTGAACAATAACATCTAAAATAGAAACAAAATACTAGAGATGAATTCAACAACATCAGAAGGCACTAATAGTAGAAACAGTTGTAGTAGTAGTGACAGTAGCAGTACAGTTTGAAGCAGTGTGTTGTTGCAGACACTAGAGGGCAGCAGAGTGAAGGTTTTATTCTTCACAGCAGCACAGAACAGATAGAAGTACTGTCATATAAACTGTAGTATGAGCTGATAACTACAGGTTGAAAGTGAGGGATTCACTGGAAAATAATATATGAACATAGTAAAGATGAATTCTATAACATAATTTAAAATAATTATAAAATTGGGTAATGGTTAAC